TTTTGTTTGCAGACGATTTTACTTTTGTTGGATCTTCTGAAGCTGATTTCCTGCGTTCTCTGGAAAGTTCGCAGCTGAGTGTGACGTGGCCGGCATGCGTGTGTACGTGTCTAAAACGAAAACTTTGGGATTTTCTCGTTTCCGTGCCCACTGCGCTTATCAGATACGCGGATAAACAGTTGAGCAGGTGAAGAAGTCCAGCCCAGTCTTAAAGTCATGTTTATTAGTGATCGACAATGGGCGAAAGAGATCGACCGCAGACTTGAAATAGCCAGCGGATTGCTTCTTGAGCTAGTATGAACTGTTGTGACTAAAGCAGATGTGAGTTTGAAGACTGAGTTCTTTGTGTTCAAGTAAGTCCATCTTCATCCCCATGCTTTCCTACGGTCATGAGTCGTGGGCCATGACTAAAAAGTTTCGATTCGGGGTACATATCATTTAAATTGGCTTTCTGAGACCAATCGCTCGGCTGAAGCTTCTCGACATGGTCCAGAATTCAGATATTGGAAAAAGCCTTGATGTCTAGTCGCTGCTTCTTCAGATGCAGAAGTCACCGCTGCAATGGCTTGGATACGCAGTTTGAATGCTTCCAAAAAGGAAGGCTGAAGACCCTGGTGATGGCCAAGAATGATCTTTGGCAAGTGTTCGGACAAGCTTTGCTCCAGTTGCAGGTTGCCAATGACTTCAAATTGAAACTCGCGACTGCGGACTGCGCCAAAACGTACTAACATCGCAAAGCCAGCCGACATCGTGAAATTGTAATGAGAAATTCACTAGTTTGACAACGGCATTGTATTTCACTCGCATAGCACTACCGATTAATATATAGCATGGTGAGCCGAATCGCGCAGGTGTTGCAGCTGACCACTGTCCAGTCATGAAGACTCAATGTGTCAGGGGTTGAACAAAGCGATGGCAACACTCAGCGGGCTGCGCCAAAACGCCCTACGGCGTCAAGAGAATACATCTCAGATACACCTCTTTCGACTTTGACTGCAGACATGGTTCTTGCATACATCTCTTCCAAAATGAAAACGACATGATTCCGTATAGCATAGATTGTGTGGTGCGGACAATGCCTACACACTACGCCCATACTTCTCTTATTGTTTAAATAAAAATTTCGAATCCTCATATGTCATCAACAAGCTCGATAGTTCGAAATATGAACATGGTGAAATTATGTCATTTACTCAAATGCAGCAAAATTGTATATCGCCACCGAAAGCCATTTTTCGAAACATGGTAATAGCATTTACAGTAAATTTTTCCGGACAGTACTTCAGGCAGATAGAAATGTAAGATCACAGTCGAGCTGCTGGCCAAGAATGAAGACAAACTCTTTGTCAGAACTTGCTCATAAAAACATTTTTTGAGCTGAAATTGATCAACACATTCTATCAAAGTTCAAACGCAAGATCTGAAAATTTGTCGCCTCTGTAGTTGTCAAGCAACCTTTCTGCGGTTATGAGGAAGTACCTCCTGATATTAATCATGCTTATTCAACACCTCTCAAAATTCTTGTTCTCCAGCTACAGACCATGACGATGGGCATTCTTAACCTTTTAAATATGACTGAATCATGCCTGAGAGCTAGCCAATTGATCGGATAAATCAAGCACCAAAAATGCTCCAAAATGGAGGATTATGAAAACTAAAATTTTTGTTTCATATATGTCCGTTACAACAATCCTGTGTGAATGGGATCGGTTTCGGCTGGATTTTATAATATTCTCTAGAAAAGTGATGAAACGTACGGATTCCTGCATTATTGTAATGAAGGTGAGCACTCACACTGTGCATTTTAATATTCTGGTCAGTTAGTTTGGCCCTGATCATCTGCCACCTTTGCGATATGTATTAAATGCAATATCAACATAGCTTTCTTTTTGAAACGTCACGAAGCCGGCGAAGCTGGTGGTTACAACTACCAACAGATCTGTAAAGTGCGATGACACCATCGAGTCCCGAATGAGCTGACGACCACCAGTCTGAGAAAGCTATCAGGTGAACTTAGAGACCAACACCTTGAAAGAGAATGGAAGTATTTTCAAATTTTTTTTTGCTTTGCAAGGGGGTACTAGCCACAAATGCGTTGGAGGGCAATGAGTAAGGTGGAACCACCTTGTTGAAGTAGATTTGCTTGCGGAAAAGAAATATGATCTTTGTCGCAGCAAAAAACAGAACGCAGCTTAATATCAATCTAATGTACCATTTTTA